CCGCCGCCGCCTGTCAGGCGCCGCAGGCCTGGGGAGCAAAGGCGCGAGGGGGAGGCTGCACGGCCTGGAACACGAAATACCACCGAGGTGGTGTAATGGTGGTTCACCGAGTGCGCAGCGTTAGGAATGGTTCGCTTCTTTCTGCTCAAATAAATGGAAACGCAAGCACAGCAAGCCAGACACGTAGCAAAACTGTTCGCTCTCTCGTGGCGCTGGCAACCGGTTACTGGCTTGGCTCCAGTTCAGTATCCCGTTATCCCGTTGCATTTTTGTCCAAGCATTTATCGTGTTAGGACAGGCGACTGCTCCTGTATCTCAGCTGTCTGGACTCATTCTAATGGAAAACACACCAGAATCCTGCAAATTCCAGAATGGCCTGAACGCTGCTCCCTTGGTTCCTGGGAACTCAGGAGAAGTACTGTAGCAACCAGATCGAATTTCTGATCCTTGTATGATCTGAAATTTGTAATTTTAGTATTTATTAGTTGGGTTTTAGTAGTTCCTATAATGTAACATGAGTATGGGGACAATCTTTTTATCAGGGCCAGTTGTGACAGGACAAGGGGGGATGGTTTTAAACTAAACCAGGGTAGGTTTAGACTGGATCTAAGGAAGAACTTCTTTACAAGGAGGGTGGTGAAACCCTGGCAGGGGTTGCCCAGAGAGGGGGTGGAGCCCCCAAAACATTCTAGGATTCTGCGATTGTACTTGCACCTGTCTTTAACTTGGTATTGTTACTCCAAGGCCTCAACATCTGTCTGGATTGGAGATCATTCGAGACCTATGCGAGGGGAAGCTGGAAGGCGGAGAAATTGGCTCGACAGAAATAACCTTCACTCCTGGGAAGATCAAAGGTGGAACCCACATAGCAGATACAAAAACAGCAGGGTATGTCTTTGTACATGGGTAATGACTGACCAGTAACCACTCTTAACTGCTTTTGGTAACTTTAAAATGACAACAGAGGACGTCTTGGTAACTAAAATTGTCACAAAACAGTGGGGGGAAAAAAAATATATGGGTAATGAGCCAAACTCTGTGCCACCTGAGCCAGATGTATGTGACCAAAGAACCTTTAGTGTAGGCAGGGTATGCATGAATAAAATACATGTGAGTCTAATAGTTTTTAAATTATAATGGGTATGTAAGTTGAAGGCTTGATTAATGTTAAGCAAAAAAACCAGCTGCCCATGTATTTAAAACTTTATCCGTTATTTTCTCACATTAGTATGTTGTATCAGGTCAAAGGCATCAAATTAGATAAGCATCTCAAATCCGTGAGATCTGAAATAATCCTCTTCGTACAATAAAGCAAATTTTGAGATTTTACTTACACACGTAATGGTACAGTATGGGATACTCACCTTTTGGAACTGGGAATGTATTCTATCCATGGTTCTTTGTGCCTGTGTTTCTTCTATATTTCTGTGCTGGGTCCTTTGTTCTTGGAATCCGTTGTAAAACCGAGTAAGTGGGTTTAGCTACGGAAGGCTGGTGTGAGCCGTTGTTTGGAAGCATAAGCCAGGTTAGCCATGAGTTCAAGTTTCCTTTAAGTTAAGAGAAATATTTTTCTGAGCTACAGCAATATAAACCACCAAGCTGATCCCTTTTACTTAACACAGAAAGGTTTGAGTAAGCAATTTTACTTACACACGTAATGGTACAGTATGGGATACTCACCTTTTGGAACTGGGAATGTATTCTATCCATGGTTCTTCGTGCCTGTGTTTCTTCTATATTTCTGTGTTGGGTCCTTTGTTCTTGGAATCCATTGTAAAACCGAGTAAGTGGGTTTAGCTACGGAAGGCTGGTGTGAGCCGTTGTTTGGAAGCATAAGCCAGGTTAGCCATGAGTTCAAGTTTCCTTTAAGTTAAGAGAAATATTTTTCTGAGCTACAGCAATATAAACCACCAAGCTGATCCCTTTTACTTAACACAGAAAGGTTTGAGTAAGCAAAAATGCAGCAGAATTAGTAATCAAGCACAAGCAAAAAGAAAAAAGAAACAGTATGGTTCGCAAACATTTGGAAGTTATTTAAAAAACCAAAACCATGTGTTCTTCAGTTCAGTGGTCATTACTGTTTTTTCACAATTCAAAATGATGTTTGAAACCCCTGTGAGGTAACTGTTTCGTTTTGCTGAACAACTTATTTTTGGCAAATTTATTTTGGAAGTTATTATCTATGAAATGTGGAGAGATTCAATGATCAGGGAATCTTGTATCTAAAAGCATGTTTTCTGTGCTCCTGAATTTTCTTGTGCGGGATGTTGACCAGCTTCTAAGCAATTTTGTAGTTTTCTAAATATTTTGTTACTAAATAAGTATTAAAATGTTAAAATTGCTGCCTAAGCCTTTTCTGCTTTTATCATCTCCTAGCTAAGCCTACAGTTTTCACAGTCCCCTCACTATACTCAGTAAGCTAAGTTACTTTTATTTCAAACAGGAATATTAAAGATGGAATTATTGTGAAACAAAAA